ATGCAATTGCTGATGAAATGAGACTTTCATCAATTCAAAGACCAAAGGATTTACTTCCAAGCACTAGTAAATTGCAACTTCCAGAAAGTTTGGATGGTGTCTCGGATTCCGAAACACCACAAGCTAGAAAAAGCAAAAGAGGCCATATCGTGGAAGATTTTGGTCCCGATTTTCACTTGTATTTAGTGGAAGGTTCAAGGGACAAAGTGGGGGTACAACATTCATATTGTTACCAAGTTGAGGATGATCCAAAGACCTTTAAATAGGCAATGGAGTCTCGAGATGTTGTCTTTTGGTAGGAGGCAATTGATGATGAAGTGTCATCAATTTTGGAGAACAACACTTGATTAGTAGGTACATCAATAATAATCAGACAATCAATCAAATATTCTCTCCTCAATTGAGCCTTATATGTGACAATAGATTACCGAATCAATTACTTTTACTTGTTCACCAAGTATTTTTTGTACACTATAAGTATCACCTTCCAACTTGTGCAAAGTAGTATTCTGATTTTCTAGCATACCATTACTCTGCCATATTTCTTATTTAGTCATACTATACTTATTTTCCGATTCTCCCTCGATTTTGCCATCCCTAGGTTGGTAAAGCCATCACCTATTTTAGTAAAAATATAATTGAAAGATGTAAAAAATTAATCATGATATCTTAATTTTAGCATTTGGATCTACGTAACAAATTTGGGCCAAAAACATCCAACAATCAGATTTTCAGATTTTTTTAAAAAAGAGATTTTTCTTTTCCTCCCCCAAGCAACTATGTCCTTATTTCTTTGCTGGGGTGAAGTGTGCAAAGTAAGAGTTGTCAACCGATTTGTCGACTTTGTAATTTTTATTAACCATGATTTCATTTTTTTTATTTAGCATTGTTTTGGAACAACTCTAAAATATATTTAAATATAACCATTTTATATTTCATCCGCATTCACCAGAATTTCATCAATTTAGTGGATTTAAGCGATTAAACTAATTCGTTCCAATATTACGAAGGGGTTTTTAAAGAAGGAAGCTAAAAATGAAAAAAAAAAACAAATTAGATGAGTGGGCTGCTTTTAAGGTAGTGTTTGCGGCAGCTTCTAAGATGCACTTTTTTGCTTTTAAAGCACTTAAAATTTGTGTTTCCAAATCCAACCTTCTCCTTAATTTTAATCACGTTTGAGTGAAAAAATGAAAATAGGAGTGAACATGCTATTATCGGCTTCTTGATAGTTTGGTAAATAACTACAAGTTGATGGAACATTATATTATGTTCACAACTTGTTTGTGTGTATCTCGTTCATACCCTTATCCTCATCCGGTGCATCACTCATCACAGTTTCTATCCATAACTAAAGTTCCAATCTTTCATGTCTTCTTCGTGTATCGACACCACCGCTAAGCAAAATCCATAGTCAAATACAAATGAGAAGCTGCCGTTTGAAACAAGCCTTGTAGCAATTGAATTCATTCGTTGTACCTATTTATGATATTGATTCCTGCGTTGTTAATTATATATGTTTCCCCTATTGGTCTATATTATCTCTCATTCTCTCCGGGATTTGACATATCCGATCCACAGCCTATGAGATCGTAGAAGAGATGATGATGACCCCTTTTTTAACCTAGTGGCAAACCATCCTAGGATGGGGTAAGGGCTGGGAACACCTCACCATTTATTAGAAAGCGAGGTTAAACAAAAAACATGGTAGTGGGACTAGGTCAAAACCCACCAAAAGAGAAAGCTAGATAACATAAGGAAAAGCAATTGCATCAAATTTAAAAATATTGCTGAATCTAGTGGATTTGACATCAACTCCCATACTAGTTTCTTTGGCCGCGCGGTTGACCTTTTCGTGAACAAGACTGAGGATGATGTGGTTTTGATGCATAATCCTACGAATGCAAGAGAATAAGAGATGGTGAAAATTTAATCCCAATGATTAACGTACTAAAGGTTGATGGCTTGGAAAACTTGTGGAATGTCGATGTAAATGTTGGTGTAGGTGATACCCTAATCCCTACAAAAAATGAGGTATTCATAGTAGACTTCAATGAAAGCCTTCATTTTGGAATTAGAAAAAAGACTGCGAGTGTGATGAGAGACCATGTCTCTGTTATGGTTCCGCAACAAAAAGCCAAAATTGTGAGAAAGGCCTTTTTGGGTTTGAGCTATGTTGAGGGTTCTATTGTTAACCAAAGGAGAGTTCCACGAAACCACTTTAGGTATGTGACGTGCACTTTGTCGTGGTGTGAACTCAAAATAAACATTCAATACAACAATTATACGTAGTATAATGAAGTAAGGTTCGTATCCACAGGGAAAGAAATATTTATCTTTTATGTGTCTAGTAACAAGGGGGGTTTTAAGACTGCTTTTGGAACTTTAAGAATATTTAAAGACTAAGATGAATGACTTATATGAGTTTAATTAATAGAGATGAGAACTTGGTTTTTCTTTTATCCACTTAATGAAATGTTCATCGATCCCGGTTATATCTTTAACTATCTTCCTCTCGAATACTCAATCGAGGAGTATCTCCATTTAATCGAGGGTAGTTATTAATAACGAGACGCGTTCATTAATAAAACTTACTACCGAGTCAATATAGAACACACGCTGTATATTAACCCGATAGTAGCAATAAATTTAAGATGAAAACGATTGTGATTGATAACCTCAACACAAGCGGTTTATTGGTTTAATCAATATAATTAATTCCCCTAGATTATTAACCATGAGACGCATGCATTAATAATCCAAGTTTACTACCGTGAAAAGACCGAATAATTAACAAGCGCATTCTTCGATCGATTCTAGTAATAATTAATATATGAAACAAAACTAGTTGACCAAGTATTGTTCAAAATATTAATATGAAATATGAATAGGAATTAATTATTATTCAAGGAAGAAGATTAAAGAAAATAAATGCTACTATAATTAATGTTGAGATGTTAACTAATTGTCATCATAGCAACACTCCTCAACATTAATATAGAGATAGATTAAATTAATATTCAAGGAAGAAGATTAAAGAAAAATACTCCCTCAGTCCCAAAAGGTATGATACATCTACCTTTGGCACATGTTTTAATAAAAGTAGCGGAATATTAGTGTTGTTCCTTTTTTACCCTTCGGTGGGTACATGGACCGTCACCTCTTCCGAATAATTTTACAGCCGTAAATCGATCATTTCCTTTAAAAAAGAAAGCTCGATCATTAATACAGAGTATTACTATACCATAGCTGAAAAGGTTAACATGTGTCATAAGACTAAGTTTTCTTTTGCTTGAGGTGTCCCATTCTTTTCACCGTAGTGTTCCTTATCCAAAATTACATATCCAAAGCCAAATGTCTCCACTTACATACAAATCATTACATCCACTCAATTACAAGTATCCTCTCTTCCACAAAGCATTTTTCTATGATAAAGTATTGCTGATAAAGTATTGCTGATAAAGTATTAATGGAATTTTATGAGTTTTTGTCAGTAGTATTATTTCCAAGTAATCACAATTTTACTCTCTAGGTGATAGTATGTCTTCTTTATTTCCGTATCTGAAGTTGTTTAGCTTTCACTAATTGAGAAGACAAAAGAGCACTCAATGTGGTCTGTTCAACAACGAGAGACCTTTTCGTATGTTTAAAAGGAGTATTTACTCTTCCTTCAATTAAAAGAATATATTGGGACCTAGTAATCAATAATGGCACAATAATTTAAAGCTTTGGATCCCTCAAATAATAAATGCAGAAGGATAATGACGTGATTAATGGGGTACAGCGGGAAGGGCAAGAGGGGAAAGTAAAAATTTTAATTTGGAAAGTGTTCATATTTTTGGGACAACCATAAAAGGAAAATGTATCTTACAAAATGGGACGGAGGGAGTAACTCACAACTTACAATCCATTAAGCTTCAAGGTGGCAAACCCAAGATGGAAGAGTTTAGCTCCTCATTTGGAGACTAAACATGCTAAAAATATAAAGGAAATACTTAACTAAACTGAGTTTAGAAGTGTATAGGAATTGGTGGTTAAATGGGAAGAAAAATGGGTGTATTTATAGGTATTTTGAGGTGGTTGGGTCTGATACCTGGCCGGGTATGTAGAATACCCGACCGGGTATCCAACCCGACCGGAATGGGTCAAAACCCGACCGGGTTGCGTATCAAATCGTATATTTTCCACGTTCTCTTGATCTTCACACGTTCTTTTGTTCTTGTCAACCCAACCTGATCGGGTTTTGTACCAACCCAGCCGAGTTTCGGCTTGTAGCTTCCTCTTGGCTTCTTATGTCACTTCCAACCCGACCGGGTTGTGTTCCCACCCGACCGGGTTGTGTTCCAACCCGACCGGGTTTGGTACCAGAATTTATTTTCGCATTTCATCTTGCCTTCCTTTGATACCTATAATATTCCCTTGCATCCCTTATGGTACTTACAACAAAATACACACTAAAAATACAAATTACAACCTACAAAATAAATCTAGAGGGTACATTACAAACTAAACTAAACTATTAAAACAATAATCAAACAATACTAAAAATAGTGCATATCAGTATGCTTCTAGGGGTCTTATTTGGACTCTTGGTATCGTTGAGGGAACAAATTTCCCGTCTGATAATGCAAATGACCTCAAAGTAGTTTGGGTAAATATCATCATAAAGGGTGATGTCTCTCAGCTTTCAGAGATTCCAAAGAATGAGAATTTTATATGACCCTTTTGTTTAGTGTATATATAATTATATAATGAAATTCTTTCAAAAAAATTATATAATGAAAGGGGCAATTTTGTATTTTAATAAAAAACTAAATAAAAATTCCTTTTTTAATCGAGATCTCCAACTTTACCTTATTTTAGTATAGTCATTTTTATTTTGAATTACATCCACCTTTTAGCATCAAGCACTTCTTCAAAAAAATAAATAAAAATCAATTATTTGGAAGCCTAAGCAATGACAAACACTCCCTATAACATATACTACGACCATCAGCTAATGAGGAATATGTAGAAAATTTTGATTAACCGGTTCAAACTTCCAAAACATATCATTGAAATTAACACCACCATACAAAATTGTGCCACGTTACATCAAACTTATTCAATGGCTATTTCATCTGAGATTGAATGACTCTGGGTTTTTCTCTTAAGCAGTTCCACAACTCTTCTCATGGAAGGTCTGTCATGCGGCGACACTGATGTACAAAGAAGTGCCACATCAAAGACCTTCTTTATCTCTTTATAGTCACTCGTAGATTGATTCATCCTTGGGTCTAAAATATCATCCAGATCACCCCATTTTTGCTCCGATGAGAATAAAATGTCTTTAACCCATTGTACAATGTCCTTATTTTCACCAAAAGATTCATCATTCACCCTTCTACCACATAGTAGTTCCAATAATACCACCCCAAAACTATAAACATCACTCTTTTCTGTAATCTTCAACGTGTACGCATATTCTACAAATGAAACAAAACAGATGTATAACATCAAACTCAACATGCTCAAAGAAGATATTAAGTAAAAGTTTACCAAATAAATTATTCAGTGACAATGGACAGTTAGGGACTTATTACATATGAAATACCTTGCAAATTTTTTGGAGTAACTTTCCATATATTTAGCAAATGTTTTATGTTCAGTTGTTCACAAAAACACATTTGTTTAAATTGTAGAGACACTAATGTTTAAGATTTTATTCTCATATGAAAAAAATATCATGAAATTTGTTCGAACGACCACTTGCGCAGTTTGACCAGTTTCATATACGAAGTACAAGAGTTAGACATTTCAAATGGAAATACGTTGTAATGAAAGTTTTTTTTAGTTAAGATTGTGTTGAGTATTGGAACTCGGGGTAGCATGAGAGGGATATACACATAAAAATTAATTATAGAATATCTCTTTTCTTATTTGAACAAATATATATTTTTTGATAAGTTTCCGGCACAATGTCAACACAAAGTCTAGATGTAGACATTATAATTGTAAATATTGAGAAAAACTTATCAAAAATTCATAAAACCGTTGAAAGATGGAGAGAGAAATGTCATTAATGCATTTTTGTATCTATGTTTCTCATGTCATGCACCGTGCATATTGTAGTATTGGTGATGCTTTTAGTATTATATAATGATTGGTGATATAGTGAAAAGTTTATGGGGACGTGACGCCCTATAGAAGAATTAAACTATAATGGTTTGAAAAGAAAGGCGTATTTTGAGACGAAAGATCTTAAAGTTCTTTATCTAAACCTCTAACACACTTTAATAAGTTTTCGATGTACACAAATTAAAACTTTTATGGAATGCAGTTCATGTCAAACTGTTTTCATATTTCGATTTAAAATAACAAATGGTTTGACATATTTGTGATAGTATAGAATTGTTATTGTTTATGTTTGTAATTTTAACTAGTTTTATTTGTTGTTGTTTGGGAAATTACACACTTTAGGTGTAATGCTTTATTTTTCCTAGTTGTTTGTAATTTGTTTAGATTAGGATTTTCTGAGCTTAAAATAGGTAAAAATCATCAAAAGGATCCTGGAAAGGTCAAGGAAAGTGAAAGGGAACAAGAGAAAGTGAAAATTTGGGAAAATATTCAAAAACCCGACCGGGTTTTCCAAAAACCCGATCAGGTTTGACTTGACCCGAAGATGAAATCTGATTTGGAGGCAATTAAACGTGCAGGGCGAAGATTTGGCAAAGATTTGTCTTTTACTCGATCGGGTAAATGAAAAAAGTGATCGGGTAGATGTGACTAATGAAGATTTTCGGGAAATTACTCAGGAAACCCGATCGGGTTTCTGAAAAACTCGGTCGGGTAAATGACCCTGCCACCTCCAAACACCTATAAATAAACCCTTTTTCCTTCCCATTTGAGAACCAATTCACATATACTCTTAAGCTCAACTTTGAATAGTATTTTCTTTATATTTTTCTAGCATTGTTTAGTCTCCAAATGAGGAGCTAAACTTCCATTTCTTGGTTTTGCTCTTGAAGCTTGTTGATTATTAAAGCTGTGAGTTATTTTCTTAACTTCTCTCCTTGAATATTAATTCTTCCCTTAATCTATCTCAATATTAATTTTGGGGAGTGTTGCTAAGATGACAATTAGTTAACATCTCAATATTAATTATTACTAGAAACGATCAACGAACCGATGGTTAATCGTTGATGGTTTCACAAGTAAGTAACTTTGGTTTATTAATGCACGGTCGTGGTTAATAAACTTAAGAGGGATTAATTGTGTTGGTTAAACCGAAACCGTTGTGTTGAGGTTATCAATCTCAATTGATTTCATCAAGGAGTTAGAATGATTAAATGCTACTATTAAGTCGGTATAAGGCGTTGTTCTATATTTGATTAATAGTAAGGGTTATTAATGAACGGTCGTTGTTAATAACTACCCTCGATGAATTGGAGATATTCCTCGATCGAGTATTCGAGAGGGGTTAAGTTATAGATATAACAACTATCGACTAAATATATCAACAAGTGGAAAGTAGCAAAGCCAAGTCCCTTTTATCTTTGAATCAACTCATATAAGTCGTTCATCTTAGTGTTTAATTAAATTAAATCATTCAACCCCAAAACCCCCTTTAATTACTAGTTCATAAAAAGATAATTATTCCTTTTCATGTGGATACGAACTCTACTACGCTATACTATGTATAAGTGTTAGTATCGAAATTATTTTGACGCACTACGATAAAGTGCTCGTCAATTTGTCTTCAAACACCACAAATTTTCAGTCACAACATGCTAGCTTTTTTGTTGCAAACAGTTTTGATCAGGGTTATGTCACTGATTTGGCAAGGACACATGAATTAGTGCCAAAATATGTGCCCAAGCTTTTTTGCGATGAAAAAGTTAGCAGGAAACTGTGATAAAAATCTGCGTTAATCTGTAACAAATTCATGTAACAATTTTTTTGTGTGACCATATTTGATTCATGAAAGAATCTTAATTATATGTATAATAACTTAAATATCAATAGGGAAGAACAATCTTTATAATGCAATGGTAGTAATAATGATTCTCTTTAATGCCAATAGCAAGATCCTATTGTTCTAGTTAGTTACTATTTGAGACTAAAATAGTACTCTTCCGTCCTGCTAATATTGTCTCATCTTTCCCAATAAGATTATTTCATCCAAATTTCGTACTACGTATAACTTTTGTGCTTCTAAATTATTCTTACTTTAGTCGTACTTTATCAATTTAATATCAATCACATAAACATGCTTTTTTTATGTGGTTCAATCATTCTTATCAGTTTAGTACTATTTTGGGCTTGATTTTATATGTAATGCATTTTTCTTCTTCAGTTCTTTAACGCAGCAATGTTTGTTTATAGTAGCTCCGATAACATCTCAGAACTCATACCATTTAACCAAATCGAAAACACACCAACGAGGTTTGAAGCTGGGGCGCCTGCCTCCCCTAACGCCATATTTGGATGGGGTGTTGATGAAAGTTAGTAATGAAATTGTTAAGAAGCGTTGACACTAAATAAATAAAAGTAATATAAAAGTGTTAATAATTGTTTAAGGGCATAAATCATAATTAATTTCCCTACACCTAAACCTATCATTTTTTAACATCCCAAATTGGGGTGTTTTGAAGCGTTGGACAACTTATCTTTATTTAAAATATAACTCTCACTTCTTCACAACTCCCTTGCTATTGCATTATTGCTGAAGTGTTATCCCTTACCTGTCGCAGAATATTGTTGTGTCTTGCCTTGTGATACTTCCGTTACTAACACACCATTTTTTTACTTTCAAATAAGACAAGTTTATATCTTCCAATTACAGTTACAACCCCTTCCTTCGCGTGCCTAAATTTTCTAACACTTCCATTACTAACCTCTTTCGATACCACTTCTAAATATAGCTACCGTTGCCACCATCTTATTAGATGTCACTATGCATTTCAAAAGTTGTTGAGGAGAATTTGGTGTTATGAAAAAATTATGTCATTGTTTGAAAAAAATCACAAGACAAATGATTAGTAAAATGATCTTTATGAATTGACAAACCACTTGTACCTGGCGCGATGTAGCCACATGAACCAGCAATATTGGACATTAGTTGTTCACTATCCGGATTGTCTGGGGTAAACATCTTAGCCAGACCAAAATCTGCCACTTTAGGCAAAAACTCTGAATCTAACAAAATGTTGTTTGATTTAACATCCCTATGAATGATAGGAGGCATGCAATCATGGTGTAAATATGCTAGTCCTTGAGCGGCCCCTACTGCAATATCTGACCTTCTTCCCCAATCTAACACTAACCCACCATTCTCTCCGTACAGTACATCTCCCAAGCTCCCATTGTCCATGTATTCATACACCAATATTCTGTAATCTTCACCTACACAACAATGCAGAAGCTTCACTATATTCCGGTGACGGACTCTCCCTAAAGCCTCCACCTCTGCCTTGAATACGTCTCCTGAATCACTTCTCCGGTTATCCTCCCAGAGCTTTTTAACCGCAACAAGCTGTCCTTGTTTCAGATGGACCCTGAATACCCGACCTGACCCGCCTGTTGCGATTATTTTCTCATCGGTCAGAGAATCCAACAGTTCGGATTCTTGAAACCCGGCCTGTGGAAATGCCGTATTGCTCCATGAAAATATGGGTCTTCTTCTGTTCACGGTGGACTTCTTCGTCCTGATGCAGATGCAGAGAAGTGATACGAGTAGGAGAAATGCGCAGGATGTTGTAATGCCCAGTAGGTAACGGGTTGCCCGACTGAACTTCGGGCATGAAGGAAGGCCTTCAAAATTCGAAGAACACAGACCTGGGTTTCCCATTATGCTTGAATAGAATAATTTGTTTCTAGATCCGGTTGGAACTCTCCCGTGAAGCCTGTTATACGATAAATTAAAGTAGTTGAGCTTGAGATTAATTAACGATGTCGGAATTTCCCCTGTGAGCATATTCCTGGCGAGGTCTAAACTGTTTAACACTTGTAATCTCCCGAGCGAACTCGGAATTTCGCCTGAAAATCGATTGAAGGATAAGTTTAGCTCGGTCAATTCATTCCATGATTCCTCAGGGGATGGTATTTCACCTTCGATCATGTTCTCTTGCAGTTCAAGCTTCTGAAGATTCTTCAGATTCGTTATACATGAAGGTAAGGCACCGGAAAACAGGTTCCTGCTCAAATCGAGATCGATCAGCTTCTGCAATTTGCATATTTCTAGCGGCAAGTTGCCGGAAAATATGTTTCCGGAGACCCTGATTTGAGAAATGTTTCGAGCACTGGATATTGAGGGGGGAATTTGACCTTCAAGTTTGTTGTTCTTCAAATCAAGGAGTTTGTTTGTAGGTAGGTTCCAGAAACCGGAAGGGAGTCTTCCGGATAATTGATTGTTGTGGATACGAACGCGTTTGAGAGATTTGCAATTACCGTACGACGCCGGAACTGTACCGGAGAACCTATTTTTGAATAGAATCAAAATCAAGAGCTTCTCTTTGAAGCAAATATTTGGAGGCAACGGGCCTTCTAGATTGTTTCCAGAAACATCGATTTCGCTTAACTCTGAATTTAGACCTAAGTTCGACGGAAGTTTTCCAGAAAACCTGTTATTGAAAAGCTTCAAGTCAATTAGATTCTGATTGCTAGATAATATTTCCGGAATTACTCCTTCCAAATGGTTATCTGAGAGATGCAGCGATTCCACTTGTAAACTGGCGAGGCTCTCTGGAATTCTACCAGTGAGGCTATTGATAGAAACATCAATCCGTAGCAGAGAACTCAGATTCGAAAATGTGTCTGGTAATTCGCCGGACAATTGATTATCATAAAGCTCTATCTGCACGATACTCTTCAGCCCACCAATACGATCAGGAATTTTTCCTGTGAGGCTGTTTTCAGATAAATCAAAGCTTTGAAGAGAGACCAAGTTTCCAATGGAGTCAGGAATGGTTCCAGAGAGATTCACCGCGCGTGCAAAGAGATTTTCAAGCTTCGTGAGTCGTCCGATTGAGGAATGCAGTCGACTGGACTTGAAAGGATTCACTGCGATTTCTAAGTCGGTCAACTCAGTGAGATTCGAGATGAACTCCGGGAGTGAGCCGTTAAGGAGGTTACTAACAAGATCAAGCACTTGAAGTTTCGGCAAACGACCGAAGCTCTCCGGGATTTCGCCTGAGAAATTGTTTAAGCCGAGAACCAGAGAGGTGAGATTGCTGAACTCGGTAAGAAGATCCGGCAGCTCTCCAACAAACAAGTTATTGGACAAGTCCAACTTCTCAAGATGTGAACACAAAGAGATGGAATAAGCAGAAATAGATTCCCCGAAGAAGTTATCGAATAGATTGAGAGTTCGAAGGGTAGAAATCCGGCAAAATCCCGCCGGAAAGCGGCCCGATAGCCCGAAACTCGGAAAATCAATGGAGACAACAGCATGAGTAAGATGATCACAGGTAATGCCGGTCCAATTACACGGTGCATTGGGTGAATTAACCCAATCGCCGAGTTGACCGTTGGGATCCCGGAGTTGTTTGTTCTTGACTCGAAGCAAAATGGCTCTATCATGGTTCAAGGAGCTTACCCATGGAGCCAAGATCATGAAAAGCAGTACACCTCCATAGATGAAAAGCTTCTGCTTCAGAAAACTCATGAGAATAATACAGTATGCTACTGAAAATCAGTTTAACAATGTGATCTTCTTTGATAGTCAAAGTCAAGCAAGAGTGTTACGTTATTGCAAGACAATGCATTAAAGGATGAAAGTGAGACTAGGTTTAAAAATGTGATGCTAAAAACATGAAGTCGCCTGGATTGATCACCAAGGTTATTACTTATCACTCCATCCAAAAAGTAGAAAAGAAAGTTGACATCAAAAGATTTCATTATAATGTGGTTGTAATTTTGTATGACATATTTAAGCTTAATTACAAAAAAGCAAACACACTGGAAAGTATATTGAGGACTATTGTGAAGAATCATTCTCCCTGAATCAGACGATATATACACATATATATGTATGTATATGTATATATCTAATCAAATAAGAATGCAATCTAATGAGGGAACTAAGAAAATTTGATGTATTGTTTCTGAAATGGTACATCAATAATTTTATTTGAAAATTGCCGCGGGAAGTACTATTTTGACCCGAATGGCCGAACACCACTATAATTGATGATCCAATATGGAGAAGGCCATAGGCATTGATAGGGAAAAACTGGCACGGGAGTTGCCGTCCTGGTATGATCATTTGAGGTGGTTTAGGTTAGAGTTTTTTTATAAAAAATTTGTTAGTATATTCTTCATAAAGCGTAAATTATGTCAATAAAATTTCAAAGAAAAAATCAATCGGTATGTTAGTTAATTCAATTATTGAAAAACATTGTACCAAAATATGTATTCAGTGTAAAGATCGCAGTGTTTTTCAATAATTTATTTAACTGACTTACATGTTTGATATTGACGTGAAATTTTGTGGTCATAATTTGCATTTCATGAAAATTTCATCAAAAAATTTCACTATGAGTTAAATTTCATGATTATTGAGTTAAATTTTCAGGAAAAATCTCAAATAGTCTTTCCCGAATAATACTTCCCACACATCTAGATGAATGAAAAAAGTCCTAGGCATTGATATACTCATGAGAAATAATCATTGTTCTACTCTAGACTTCTAGATTCCTACTTGCTCGGCTAGAATAATTAAAGGGTTTAAATACTTATATTTCTTCATTCCTATTATAGAGTTATAGACTTAGACATACATCTTCATTCCTACGGAAAACAAAGTAGCGTATTTAGAGACATCACAAATTGACTGATATGCGTAGGCAATTACGCATAGGGGTGGACTGGGCTGGGCCGGCCCGAACCGGACTGGCCCGCTACTGTGCGGGCTCAGACCGGGCCCGGGCCCGGATAGCCGGTTCCGGGCTTTTGCCCGGTTTGGACGGTTCTGGGCCATGATTTTCATGAATCGGCCCGGTTCAATTTTTTTTGTTTTTTCAATTTTTTTTCTTTTCCTTGGGTAGGGCTGGGTGTTTTGGGGAGGTTTTTGGGGGTGTGGGGGTGAGGGAGGGGGGTCGAGGGTTAATTAGAAACCTAAAAAAAATTACATAGAACTGGGCCCGGCCCGGGCCGGTTTGGCCCGGACCCGGTATCAACCCGGGCCGGTTCCGGGCCCAACATTCCGAAACGCATGCAGTGATGCAGGGAAAAACACTTTGAGGTGAAAAATTATAAGTTTGGTGAGTAATGTGAATTCACAAATAAGAGAGTGTTTCTGTTTAAATCTACTATTGAAAAAAATGATATATTATACTCCGTACATATTATGTGAAGAGTAAGTAATAGTCAAAGTTCATGATGTTCGAAAAGAGATTTTGATAAAATAAAAGTTAATGTTTGGTGAAAAAATGTTTTTAATGTAATAGAAAAATTAAAACAGTTAAAATCACCGCTCCATTTACGTTTGGCTTTAAACTACTTAATTTCTCGTCTTCAAGTAGAAATGTGTATTTGAAAACACATTTTTAACTATTTTTAAAAACATAAAGCTGATTTTTTTAAATCAATAGCATATTAGACTAATCATTTATTATCATAATATAAGTGCTACATATATACCTCCATAGAAATGTATATTCAAATCACTATTTCATTCATTATCATGATTTTTAGAAGACATATACATTGGTTATGTTAATATCAGGTGATCCTGACTTTATCAGACAAATCTTGAGGTACTAAGAACTCATATTGCTCATAATACAGTGTTTCACGAGCTTATAAAACACATTTATGAGCAATGGAGGCATAGGGTGTGAGTGTGCAACACCAATGCTTAGAAGAAGCCCCTACCACTTTAACTCCGCATTGACTGTGACCATGGAGCGATACTCAATTTTAGTAAACAAGCGAGAAACGGTGTGTTATTTCCAATTAGCAGATTGGTTTCTTTCAAGGTAAGGATATTCACCAGCTGATAGAGTATTAACCCTTAAAGAGAAGTGAGAGCTAGAGAGAGAAGTGCAATAAATGTATTCCTCAACCCTTGCAACTACCCCCAACAGGGGTATTTATAGGAAAAATATGAGCTGGGCTCCCAAGTCTTGGGCTGGGCTCCCAAATCTTGGGCTTGGGAGGCCCATTTACAATATGAGGCCACTACTGGGCCAAATACAGAGTATGTAATTTGACTGCATATGAAATCTAGCTATGTGGAGTCTCTGTGGCAGACGGAGCCCTGACCGACGAAGACCCGATCGATGGAGGACCCTTGGTTCTTCTGGATTCTGGACCATATTCTGAGTTGATGTGTGTTTGGCCGATGGACGGCCATCTGGCCAACGGAGGATCCTCTAGGTGACGGCTGTGCTTCCTCTTAGTCTTCTGAGTATGTGGGTCATGGGGTCTGGACCCATACACTCCATCACCAACATATTCTGTTAACCAAAGAACTTATTCATGGTATTGACAAAAAAATTAGGGGAAGCAATGTTACCATTAAACTTTACCATTAAACTAGATATGACAAAAGCTTTTGACAAAGTTTCATGGGACTTTCAAGAACAACCTTAAAGCTAGTCATCTCTCTATATATCCTCATTAATGGTCATGTTTCTGGTTTCTTTCAGCCTACAACAAGATCCGCTTTCTGCTTTTCTCTTTATTTTAATCTCAAAATGCTTTTCTAGAGGACTAAACACTTTGATGCATCAAAAGAAGATCTTACCTTATTATGTTGCTAGAGGAACCCCCATTATTTCTCATTTAGCTTTTGCTGATGGTCTTTTCATCTTCCTCAATGTACTCCCAAACTCTCTTAAAGCCTTCACCTCTTTTCTGCATACCTATGAGGCTGCTACTGGGCAACTGGTAAATCTGCATAAAAGTAGCTGTGTTACTAGCAAAACAACTGCACAGGAAAAAAGTATGGAAGGGATTCTAAGTATGAAGATCTCTAACCTTCCTTTCAAGTACTTGGGTGTTCCCATTCACCTAGGAATAACAAGAGGCAGACATTGTTACAATTTCATTGATCACTTTGGTTCTAAGTTGAGCTCTTGGAAAAAGAAAGTTCTTAATCAAATTGGAAGATTGATCTTGATTAAACATGTCTTATCCACAATCCCAAACCATCATCTAGCTACTTCTAAACTTCCCCAGAAAAGTATCCATATCCTGAACATGAAAATGACAAATTTCTTTTGGGGATGTAAATATGGAAAAAACAAATATCATTGGACCAAATGGGAAAAGATTTGCAGAACACCAGAGGAAGGAGGACTGGGAATCAAATCTTTAAATGCCATTCAAAGAGCCTATCGGATAAAAAATGTGGTCGACTTGGAAGGAGGGAATCACTGCATGGTCTAAATACATACACACAAGATATAACAGAGCAGGTGACTCTCTTATGTGGATGCAAATTTCTGAGATCAATCATATTGGTGAGGAGTTAACCACATATGATGGTAATCAACAACTTGTTTGGATTCTTGAAAAGAATGGAAACTTCACACTTGCTTCTGCATACAACAAGTTGAGAGAAAAATCCTCCAATCTGTTCTCCTATACTCATTCTTGGCATACTAAACAAAAATTGAACATAAAAATTTTCTATTGGATAGTTCTAAATCACTTTTTGGCTTTCCCAGAAGATCTTAGTAAATTTGGAGTTTCTCTTGCCTCAAGATGTCCTATATGCTTATAGGCGCAACAAATCCAAGAGCGCTGTTTATTTACACGTACTAAAGTGCTTAAAATTTGGAAATATTTCATGAGTATGCTGCAAATCAGTCAATCTGGCCCTATGGAACTTAGACAAATGCTCTTCTGTTGGTGACTAACTAAGGAATCTTCCATTGAAGGTACGATGAAACAAATTCTACTTGGAATAATTCTTTGGTTTGTTTGGAAGGATATGAATGCTTGTATTTGGGATAATCTGAAGTTTGAAGAAAAGGTAATCTAGCAAATTCAAGTTTACTGTCAACAATTGTGTTTAAGTTACAAAAATGAAAAGTTCATGATTTGCAGTGATGACTTAGCCCAAGCAAACATCATGCCATATAATATGAAGAAAATCAAACAAAAAATTTTGATTTGGAAGAACAACTTCCCTTATTAGCAGTGCTTAAATGTGAATGCGGCTTTCAAAAATGGTGATTGTGCTGGAGGTGCTATTCTCACAACTTGGGATGGTTCTTTCATTGCAGCAGCACATTTCAAGATTAAAGCTAATTCAGTGCGTCAAGCCAAAATTATGGCTGCTGTTAAAGCTTTAACCTGGTGCAAAAGCATGAACATTAAAAATTTTCAATTGGAATTTAATTCTGAAGCTTTCATTAAAGCAAAAAAACAAATCTTTACGGAATTCCCATCTTAATACCTGAATTAAAGAATTCTCAAGCTTATGTGATACTCAAGATGTGAAGATCCGACATATCTACAGAGAAATCAACAAGGTTGCTCACTCATTGGCGCAAGAAGGCATGGAGATAAAGGAAGATAAAGTTTTCTTGAAAAAGGATGACCTTTCTGTTTCGACGAATCATCTTCTGAAGTTAGATGCAGATGGTGCTTTCTACATTCATCGCTAGCTGGTTCTTTTTTATCTCCTTGCCTTGTTTTTGTTTTTCGTTGCTAGCTTTCTTTAGCCTTTATTTGTATTTCCTTTTCTGTATTGTTGTTTTGGGTAAGATATATGGCAATATATATCATACATCCGGGGTGTACATGTACACTTTTTTTTTTGCAATTAATAGCAAGTTTAGGATAATTAACAGGCCAATGCTCCGCAGATGATGAGTTCTGGAACAGGATGATGCTGCGGAGATGATCGAGCTCGGAGAGACGAGAATAAAAAGCTACAGCAGCAGTAGGGTCTTCAGTAATATTCTTGGTCTTGCGGCATGATGATTGGAATGAGAATTGTAGCAAGCGAGCAATCTTTGGTTTCATCCGGTAGTTCTCCATGGCCGGCTCGCCGGAGGGAAAGTCTAATTAGTTTTAAAGTACCGCCCCCGTCCTACTAAGATTGAGACGATAGAAGGTGACACGATTATCAAGAAAAGTGAGTTTGTGTGGTTGATATTAAATTGATAAAGTAACAATAAAGTAAGAATGATTTAGAGCCACACAATCTTTACCAAATTTGGTATGAGACAATCTTAGTGGGACTTCCCGAAAAGGTAAAATGAGACAATCTTAGCGGGACGGAGGGAATACTAATTTACCTCGTTTTATGATACTGCTAAAGTCGCTAAAAGCCATGCCCAGGAATAGGAATTTTAGATGTAGTAGATTCACCACACGTGGACAACTCTTCTAACCGGTAGGTCATTCACGTATTGAAATTCATAAGAATTAATTATAAGTATAATTTAATAATTTTTATAAAAGAAAAAAGAACATAAAGAAAGTGAACTAAAAGTTATGAAGCAGATATCACGATTCTGAATAATAGACTCCTAATACTCAACATAATATGTTTGATGCTCATTAAAAGTTCATTAGTGCTTGATGGAGTATATTCTCGTATACCCCAGGGGTACCGCGATCGCCGGTAGAGAGCCTTGCGGGTTCATCGGAAGCACGAAAATACTAACCCACATCTGGATCCGACCCCGACCCCGACCCCGACCGCCGAGGTCGGAAAGCACCAAGTTCAGGAATCAAGTAAACTCAGCAGATAACGGAGTCCACCGACCCCGACCCCGACCTCGAGGTCGGGAAAATATCGAGCTCAGGAGCCAACTAAACTCGACGATTCATGAGCCCGACCTCGGGACGTCCGAGGTCGGCGCCAAGTCTGATCTCGGAAGTCTCACTCCAGGTCAACGTCAATCAAAGCACTAGGCAGTCAAACGACCTCCAAAGCGAAAACGGAGGACAGCAGAATGAGTCCTCTCGACATGCGTCCGAGCCCCCAGATACCGACCTCAGTAATCCTCGAGGTCGGGAGAAAAGCACCGGGTACTCAAACAAAATTCGCAAGGGATTAATGCGTGAGGAAACATCGCCACGTCACTCTCCGCGCTAACGGAATGTACCAGATTATCTGCATACAACTACACGGGATCTTTGGGCAGAATTTCTGTTAGAGGAATGATCAATCAGCCAGCTATCAGAGGCTCTCTCTCTCCAATCAACTTTCCACGTGGCTGCCCCCGGTCCATTTAGTCTGGTAGTTTGTTAGAGTAGCTTTACACGTGTCCCTCTCCTATTAGACTAGTATCTTTTTACTTGGGCACCAAGTATTTCCCTTTCTCCTTAGTATAAATATCACCTTCCAACTTGTGGAAAGGGATCGAATTTTAGAGGCTTGAGCTTTTGTCAATCGCACTTTGAATTTCATACTGTGAGACTTGCAAACCAGTTCGCTCTCCCCGTTTCCTCTCCTACTCTCGGTGGATTCTGGCCACCTCTGGTCCGACGATCCATCATTTTTGGTGCTCTCGTTGAGAGCTGAACTGTGAATAAGTCAGATCCTCCCAATTTTCTTGAGATAAACAGCAAATTCCTCCGCAACAATGGCAGGAAAGAAAATCCTCAGAAATCGACGCGCAGCTGCCGTCGTCGCGCAGGTTGAGCCCTCGCTGGAAGCTAGCTACTTCCGGCGCTAGGAGGGCCGCTAAGGGAAAACAAGTCGCTCGAACTTCTGTTGATCTGCGCAGTCAGATCCAGCGTACTTCTCCAGATCTGCGCCAACAGATCTCTTTCAATCGTGATGCAGCGGCAATGCCGTCCGCAGCAGGTGCTCCCAACGTTGCAATCTCAGCCTGCGGCTGTTGTGGCTCCTCAGGCCACTTGACCTATCTCTCCGGCGAATTCCAGATCTCGCTCTCTGAGAGTAGGCTCTATTGACGCTCCCTTGAAGGAGGAGAGACCAGCACGGATGGTCTATCAATCACCCCCTCGCCAGAGGGAGACTCTGGGGATCAACTCTCCCCCAATCCGCCAGGTGGCTTCCGCTGCACCTATGAACGTTGTGCCTCTCGCACAACAAGCAGGGACTTCTCATCCCGCTGCGGCAACACAGAGGATGGCACCCTCGCCGCCTCCTGCATTGCCGTCCAGGTACATTACACGCCGTGTTGAATACGGTTGTACTAATGATGAAGGTGTCTATGCTGTCACCACTGAGGACTCCTCCCAGTCCCTCTCCCTGCAACAGGATGACAACCCCAATCCTTGGATTGAGGTGGGAAGGCATCCCATCTTCTCTAGATTGGGGGACAGATCTATGGCAAATCAGCGCCTCTCTGTCAACATACGTAGGATTAACAGGGCAAACTCCCCAGTCCTCGAAATCCCCCGGCACCAGCAGCAGCAACAGCAGGGGAGAAGGACTCCAGAGCGTGTGCCCGCTTTGGAGAGGCTAGGGGGCAATCAATCCCCCAGATTTGCCCCCCCCCCACGCCAACAGCAGATGCCTTCTCTCCCAAGGCAACAACGCGCGTCACCATTGCCCCAGCAACAACGACAGCCCCTGCGCCAGCCAAGGCTATCACCGCCGAGACGGCAGCTGGAATCTCCGCCATGGCGCCAGCGCCAGGAGGACCCGAGGGGAGAGCAGGTCCGCCTCCTGACCCAACAGGTCAATGAGCTGCGGGCTGCAGCTGTTACGGCAGTACCACTGATAAGTCCATTTTTGTACATTTTTTTCTCAGCATATTTGAGCGATTTTCAGATAGAAAATAGAAACACAAGGCATGATTTAGATATTTTGGTTCAAGTTTCATGAAATCAGGTGAAAACCGCATTCATAATATGTTTGGCAAAATTTCGGGTCAATTGCGTGAAGAAAGTGGCATTTTTTCCCAACAAATGAATTGCTACGGAAGTTTGAAAGATATGTTGATCAATTTTTCAAAAAGAAAAGTCCACGAGATGAAAAAATCATGAAAGGAAGTTCAAAACCAAGAAGAAGTCGCCTATATGGCCAGTTTTGATGAAAATGGACGATGCATAAAGACACATGTCGTATTTTGATCATAACTTTACGCATGATTGCTCAACGTTTGTGATACGAGTCGCATTACATTGAAATCTTCTTTCTCTACAACTCTTATGAAGAACACAGAACCAAATAATAATCGTAGAATGGACATATTGCTCAAAGAAGTCAGACATTTGCAGTTGGGATGGAAAGTGACACATGCTCACCGTTTTGGTCATATCTCATAAACTACAAATCCAATCAATGTAATTCAAAAGCCAGTAGTTATCCAAGAAAGAGATATACAACTTTGTTGAAGACTACTTTTCCATTTGACGTGAGGCGGTCGATAAGGCGGCCGCCTTTCTGGGCGCCTACGAGTTTTTGACAGTTTCAGCACACAGGGCTTTGCATGGCGACAAAATAATGAAAGGCTGCCGACAAGGGCCGGAAGACGGACGCCCTACGTGGCCGCCTGCGGCGCGATGTGACTTTTGAGCTGCCGGTCTCTGAGACAAGACGGGAGGCGGCCAAGTAGGCGGCCGCCCTCCACGGGCGCCTGCGGCGGATTTGACGCGTGCACGCAGCTTTGTCGGTGATTTGATGGAAGGCTGCCGACCATGGCCGGAGGGCGGCCTCCCTTCTGGCCGACTTCCACAAAACTCCACCTATAAAAGCTCTCTTCCATCCCCAACTCAAAACACACCGTCTCACACCTAACTCAGATAAAAAAGGGTGTCTTCTTCCTCCTCAAAGCTCGGATTTCCACCATTGTTGGACCTTCAACTTCAATCTTTCATTTTTTTCTCATTTTAGCTCCAATTTGTAAGTTCTTTATACGAAAATTCATCTTCTCGTCGTGTAGATTATGAATATGTTGTTTTTATTTCCCAAATATTTGTTAAAAATTCTCTGAATTAATTTTAAGAATTTCATGTTTTCCATTTTTATTCAAGAAAAGTAGTTCTTGTTGTTATATTAATCTCCTACTTAGATAACCTCAATACTAGTATAAATGGTGATTATTTGTGAAAGAAAAGAAAGTTTAGATGTTGAGAGTATTCACTTTAATATTTTCTTTTGTTGTTATTATTTATGATAAGGGTTTCAAACTAAGTCGGAGCAAGACAGAGTACATGGAGTGCAAGTTTGGTGGAGGTAGAAGTAGTGGTAATAGCGGAATTACTTTGGATGGTAAGGAGATACCAGTCAGCGATATGTTCCGTTACTTGGGCTCCATAATTCAGAAGGACGGTGAGTTAGATGGAGATGTATCCCATAGAATCAGAACAGGGTGGATGAAGTGGAAGAGTGCGTCAGGATTTCTATGCGACCGAGGTATGCCGAATAGACTGAAGGGTAAATTTTATAGGACGGCAATTAGGCCTGCATTACTATATGGCGTAGAGTGTTGGGCGGTGAAACAATGTCACATTCAAAAGATGAGTGTGGCAGAGATGCGCATGCTGCGTTGGATGTGTGGGCATACTAGGAAGGACCGCGTGAGGAATGAGACAATCAGACAAAGGGTGGGAGTAGCACCTATTGAAGACAAGATGCGGGAGTCGCGCCTACGGTGGTTTGGTCATGTGCGTAGAAGACCGAGCGATGCACCTGTTAGGCGAGTTGAGATGTGTGGAGAAGAGGCAGGGAAGAGAGGGAGAGGAAGACCCAAACAGACGTGGGTTAGGGGAGTTCGAAGTGATATGCTTCTTCTAGGGTTGGATGAGGGCATGACTTTGGAGAGAACCAAGTGGAGGGCGGGTATTCACGTGAAGGAGTGATCTTGATAATCTTTTTCCCTCATCTTTTTTTTCCTAGTTTTTTTATCTTTATATATATATATATATATATATATATATATATATATATATATATATATATATATATATATATATATATATATATATATATATGTATGTATTATTTGCAGCCTTTTTATTTTATCATTTTTATATATATTCATCTTTTTTATATTATCTTTTCATAATAGCTTATCTTTTTATCTTTATTCCTTCTTTTCCTTTTGGTTGTGATATCATGTATCGATTCATGTTAGCCGACCCTAATATCTTTTGGGACTAAGACTTGGATGTTGTTGTTGTTATTGTTGTTATTTATGATAATGTCTTATTTTATATGTAAAGTGTTAAAACTAGTAATGAGTTATTGTAGTTAATTTACTCTTGGGCATGAGTTGAATTAAAGAATATGGGTTGACCTTGTTTGACTGAAAATTAGGAGTTTAACTAATTTTATGGACTAGTTGTTTAAAATGATTAATTTGATTACTTAATAGAATTGGTCATTTCATTAATTAAACTTTGGAAGATTATTTATAACTTGTCTATGAGATTATAAATAGTTTAAGCCAAACATATTGAGCACATTAATGAAGCCTAGAGACAGGATAAATTAATGGATATAATTTAATCTTTGTCTATGAGGAAGAAATTCAATTGTTTAATATGAGAAAATTTAATTAATTAAAGAAGTTGACCATTTTGTTAACTAAAATGTGAAAAGTTATATCTATATTGTCCATGAGATTAGAATATAATTTAGGTCAACCATTTTAAACACATTAATGAAGCCTAGAAATAGGATAAATTAGTGAAGGTAACTTAAATCTTGTCAATGAAAAAAGAAATTACTAGTCCAATCTTTAGTTATAAATACTCCTAATTATTAGGTCCAAGATAAAAGGATGTACCCATATTTTATAATTCAATTCATTACCCTTCTTTGATCAATCCATTTAGAGTTTAATATTTTATTTTTCATTTAGTATATTTTTGAGCCATCATTAGTATTTGCATAATTTAATTTACTTTCTTTTTCAAAAACTAGTTTAGAAAATCAATCAAAAGATTTAATTTGGAAAGCTTCCAATAATTTGCGATAACCTGTGACTGGACTTAAAATCAAGAAACTCCTCCGCCATTCCTCAAGAGACACGATACTCGGGGAAAACCGAAAGGTTAGACTCCGTTTTACTACAACGTCGCGAAAGCGGTTATCAACCACCACCGCCACCGCCTCCCCAGCACACGGCGCGTGGCGCTCAGCTGGAAGCGCTGGTGCTCCAGGTTCAGCAGCTCCAGGCTCAGGTCAACCAAGAGCCTGTAATGGTAAGGGTAAGGACTGCCACCCCTTCACCACACGAATCACGCAGGCCCCTATACTCCCAAAGTATAAGGGACCTAATATTAAGCTCTATGGGGGTAAAACTGACCCCCAGGAGCACTATACCCGCTACCAGTCTGGCATGTATATGATGGGCGCTAGCAAGGAGTACATTTGCCGTATGTTTCCCTCCACTTTAGAGGGGGAGGCATAAGACTGGTTCAACGATCTCCCTGATGAATGCATTGACTCATGGAGGGAGTTAGCTACCCGCTTCCTCACCCATTTTGCTGCAAGGGAAAAGAAGAAGAAGCACTTCTCCTACCTGTTGTTCGTCAAGCAGGGCAGAGACGAGCCTTTGGGCAAGTTTCTGGAGCGATGGAGTGAAGAGACCTCTAAGGTCTATGGAGCTGATGACAACACCCGCCTGGCTATGCTCCAAGAGGTCCTGTGGACTGGTGGCTTCTCAAGGAGCCTTATCATTGACCCTCCACGAGACTATCAGCGGGCACTTCACCGTGGGCAGAACTATGCCCTAGCGGAGGAGGTGCACAGCCGCAAGAGGGCGCAGGAAAGTGTCCCAAAACCTCAGAAGCAGGAACAAAAACAACCGGAAAAGCCAAAGCCACCGCGAGAGAACAAGCCTCACGAGGACAGTAATAGAGACCGGAACAGGGGCCACTTCAAAAACAGGCGCCCCTGGACAAGTCCCAAGCTTCTAGCGCCTGAGGTCCTGACACCACTGACCCATTCTGTCAGCCATATCCTGGAGGCAGCAGATCAGGAAGGGCTGGTGGTTCGAGACCCACGAATCAATGAGATACATCAATGGGATAAGTCAGGCCCCTATTGCAAATTCCACAGGTTCTATGGCCATGCTACTGATGAATGTCACACCCTAAAGCTGTAGATTGAGAAGCTGATCAGCCGTGGCTATCTGAAACGTTTTTTCCGGAAGCCAGAATCTGGCCAGAAACGTGGCCATGAGCACAGGGTCCGGGATGAGGAGCGAGATTCTGATCGCTCCCCCCGAAAGAAGGACATTGGATTGATCTCTGATGATGATTCCACCGAGGATAACAGGCGTAGTCAACGACGCCGACACGAGGTCAGAATAATCATTGGAGGAAACACGGGCGGAGATACAACCGCACAAAGGAAGAAGTGGAATAGTAAACTCTACATGGGGGAGATTGCAAACCCCCCACCGGCTGCCAAGAGAGCAAGGTCGGATGTTATCTCGTTCACCGACCGTGATCTGCCAGACTTCCCCTCCCCCCACAGGGATGCTCTGGTGGTGAAATGTGAGGTGGACGCGGCAATAATCCATCGCGCCTACGTTGATACTGGATCCTTTGTTAACATCATGTACATACAGATGTTCCACGAGCTAGACCTCCATCTCAACTCCCTGAGGCCCATCTGAACTCCCCTCTCCGGATTTACCGGTGACTCCATAGACGCCGAGGGCACTATTGAGCTCTCCCTTAAATTCGGGGACGAATCTCACTGCTCCAAGATCCCTGCGGAGTTCGTAGTGGTGCGACTCGAGTGCGCTCACAATGTTATACTCGGGAGGCCATCACTGGAGGACCTGGAAGCAGTAATCTCCATGCGGCACCTCTGCATGAAATTCCCGACTGAGACCGGGGTCGGTTACAGCACAGGTAGCCAGAAGATAGCCAGATCATGCTATATCAAGATTACAAAACGGATGGCAGCTAGAGACATGTGCATCAACACCATCTCGCAGGCCGCCCTCGAGGAAGAGACCCCCAGAGCCGAGCCCGTAGACGCGCTGGAGACTGTTGTCCTGGATCAGTCCAACCAAGAAAGAGTTGTTCAGATCGGAACGAACCTGAATCCAGGACTGAGGCAAGCAATAATATCTGTTCTTGTTAAATACAAGGTTATTTTCGCCCTTGGCCCCGATGAAATGCTGGGTATTAGTCGTGATATAATCACGCACAAGCTATCCGTGGACCCGAACGCGACGCCTGTTAAACAGCGCAAGCCGTACCTGTCTACGGACAGAAGGGAATTTGTCAAGGCCGAGGTGACTATGCTCCTTAGCATAAATCACATTGCCGAAGTCGAATACCCGGACTGGCTAGCGAATGTTGTTTTGGCACCCAAGCCACCAACATTTCGTATGTGCGTCGATTACACCGACCTCAACAAGGCTTGCCTGATGGATCCATTTCCACTGCCGAACATCGATCAGCTCATCGATGAAACAGCAGGTTGTGAGCTCATGAGCTTCCTGGACACCTTCCGGGGCTACCACCAGATTTTCATGAACGAACTCGATGCCCCGAAGACAACTTTCATGACTCCAGAGGGTATTTTCTGCTATCTGGTCATGGCGTTTGGGCTTAAAAACTCAGGCGCCACCTACACTCGCATGGTGGCCAGGGTCTTCAAGGCTGTGCTCGGCAGGACAATGGAAGCCTACGTGGATGACATGATAGTCAAGAGCCGCAAAGGCAGCACACATGCTGAGGATCTAGAAGAGATCTTCAAGATTATGAACAACATCAACCTCCGGCTCAACCCCAAGAAGTGCACATTTGCAGTTCGAGGGGGGAAGTTCCTGGGCTACATGATTAGTCAGCGTGGGATTGAGCCAAACCCGGAGAAGGTGCAGGCCATACTCAATATGGAGCCACCTCGAAATGTTAAAGAGGTCCAAAGGTTAACTGGGAAGCTGGCAGCCCTCAACCGGTTTCTTTCAAAATTGGCCGAGCGTGCACTGCCATTCTTCCAAATCATGAGGAAGTCTGCAAAATTCCAGTGGACTCCCGAGTGCCAGACAGCATTCGATGACCTCAAGCGATATCTTGTCTCCCCACCAGTATTATCAAAGCCTGAGCAAGGAGAAACGTTATACCTCTACCTAGGCGTCAGCCACGGGGCCGTGAGCTCGGTCCTGATTCGCGAAGAAGATGGAGCTCAGAAGCCCATCTACTACATAAGCAAAACTTTGCGCAACGCCGAGCTCCGGTACTCCCCAGTAGAGAAGACCGTACTCGCAGTAGTATGGACTGTAAAGCACCTGGCCCACTATTTCCAGGCCCATGTTGTACACATCCTCACCCATCAACCACTGGGTCAACTGATGAGAAGCCCCACAAGCTCGACCAGAATGGTCAAATGGGCCGTTTTTCTGAGCCAATACCAGATCGACATAAAACCGAGGCCGGCCATTAAAGGGCAGGCCCTCACCGACTTCATGCAATGCACTGCCAGAGATCTTACCCCGGTCACCTCAACTGACAAGGACGGCTGGTGGACACTGCTCACTGATGGCTCTTCAGCAGCCAAAGCCTGTGGGGGGGAGTCGTACTCATCACCCCTGAGGGCTTCCGAGCTTACTATGCTATACGCTTTGCATTCAAAGTCTCCAATAACGAGGCAGAATATGAAGCCTTATTATCTGGCCTACGCCTTGCAGCTAATATGCAGGCAGGAAAGCTGAGGATCAAGTGTGATTCGAGGCTCGTGGTCGGGCAAATCAACGGCTCCTGTGAAACAAAGGAGGCCAGGATGAAAGAATATAAAGCCGATGCGTTGGAGCCCCTGGGCACTTTCCAGATGTATGAAATACTGCAGATACCAAGGGCTCAGAATCAGGAAGCCGACATTTTGTCGAAACTAAGCTCAGACACGCCTGAGTACATCTCCAAAATAG